ACTACAGAAAGTGAAGCTCTGATAACTCTAATGTTCAACCCAGTCGTTTTTTTTTCTTTTCTTTTTTTTGCAGATAAACTCCAAGTAAGTTGACAAAGGACACGACTCTGCTTCTGTTTTACCTCAGACGAACCCCAACATCCAAATGCTTGTGAACTAGCGCATGTGCTGGTGGAAGTTTCACCTTCTTACTTTGTTACACTATGAGCTAAAGAGGATCGACTGTTTTAAGGCGTTTGCAACGCCAGCGCTGAAACCACCAAATAGCTCCGCTGTTGCTCCTTTATTTTACACATTTGTCTCCATACATGAGCTTCCTGACTAAACTACAGAAGCCTAAAATTTTGGCACAGTATCTCTAAAGCAAATTTTCACAGATAAGCCAGCAAATAAAAACAGAAACATCTCTTATAGTGACCATATTAAATTGAACTTATATTTTTTCTATCAATGAGGCTTACAAAATGTACGGGAACGCTGAGGAGATGACTGAGATGGAGTTAGTGGAACCATCTGAGGTGAAGCCGCTGCTGTCCAAAAGCAGCTCAACAGTCGAAGGTAACTCCTGCGTTAGCGGGCCGAATCCCTCAGCTCCCGTTCAGCTCTCTGCTGGATCTGCTCCTCTTTCTGATCACTTTCAGATCCTCTTCATCTGCTGGATCACAGAGTTTTTCAGGCCCAGCTCTTCTTCTTCTTCTTCTGTCCTCCTCTGGTCCAGTTTCCAGATGTTTTCAGGCCTCTGATATCTGCTCAGTTTTAATCCTTGTTTTTTCTGTATTTTATGCTGTTTTTGCTTTAGTATTTGGTCATTTCATCTCTATTTTTCTACTTTATTTTGGTCAGTTTAGCTCTATTTTTGCTTTTTGTTCTAGTATATTTAGTCATTTTAAACTTTGTTTTTGCTTTTTTGTTGCATTTCTTTGGTCATTTTTTAGGCACAGCTATTCTTCTTCTTCTGTCCTCCACTGGTCCAGTTTCCTCAGATGTTTTCAGGACTCACCAGCTAAGATTTGCCCAGTTTCCAGCCAGCAGCTCTCTGGGAAGAGCATTTGTAGATGTTACAGTGATGCTTCTCATCTCTGTAACATCTAATCAGTCAGAGGAAGTAACCAGAGATGTATAAAGTACTGGAGTAGAGGAGTGGAGTAGAAGTACAAGTACTATAAAAAAAAAACTATATTAAAAAAATGACTTGAGTAAAAGTAGAAGTATTCTTTCAACATCATACTTAAGTGGAAGTACGGAAGTACAGAATTTCTTTTGTACTTAAGTATTGCAAGTAGAAGTATTCAAAAATTGCTACTCAAGTATCAAAAGTACAAGTATAAGTAAAAGTACAAGTACTGTGTAAATTAAAAAAAGGCAGTGAAAAGTGTGATAGATATTGTTTTTATTATTTAAAACGTGTGAAAGGCCATACAGGTGTTTACAGCACTTCATCTACTATTATCTATTATTCCAGAGTCAGAATCCTGAGGTGAGCCTTTATGCTATCATGTAGCACACAGCTTGCCAGCTAGGTTAGCTTTAGCTAACGTTAGCTGCTACGTCCTGCGTGAACAGGGAGAACTGAACCAGTGCTTATTTACTGGCTTAAATGTCATTAGGGGGGCCACTGCCAGTGGCAGGCCCCCCTATTACTCTTCGCCATATTTATTGCACGACTTTTTATCGTTCTCCCATTTCCGCGGACCACTACTCCTCCCACACGTTTCGACGGATCGGGCCCAAAGTCGGCACGCGTGTCCGGACCCACCTAGCCATGCGTGCTTGTTCAAAACTTTCTCAAAGGAGCGGGCGTTTCCAAGTAAACGGCGAAAAAGTGGTGAGCGTTTTCCTATAGGAATGCATGGGGGCCGCCAACAAACAGGCCCAAAAAAAGCCCCACGACCTCGTTCGAACATTGAACGGGTCACGAAAGACAGGCCTCCGCCATATCGGAGCCACGAGGCCAGATCTCGGCCTTACGGTTTTCTAGCAATCGGGCCCACAGTACACACTTTCCCGATCCTCTCCAATAGGATTTAAAGGGAGAAAGGAGATTTTTTTTTCACCACAGCCAAAATGGCCCTCATTTTGAAATTGCCATAAAAAAATAACCGGTGAGAGCAGCCTAAAATAAAATACATTGGCTGAGACCTGCGACCCTCGTGGCGCTCACGGTCCAAGAAGAATTACGCTGTGAGCAGGAGTTCGGGGTCAACTTTTGATCCAAACTGACAGTTGGCTGTGTTATGGCTGCGGTTTAGTGATGAGTCACACCTGTTTGGAATGTTCAGACTTGGGGCCAGACTGCTGTTGCCGTGGTGATCAGCAGAGCTCTGCTGAGCTGTGGGGCTGATGGATACATTGATACTGGTACCAGGCGGGCGAAGTCCGCTTAGAGTTAGTTAGATCCTGGTTCTGGTACCGGGACCAGACCGGCCCCGGCCTGGGGCTGGACCCAGTCATGTCATACCTCGTTGCGTAGGTCTTTCTCTCAGCTTTCAGCCAATGTGACCCCCGACCTGCTCAAACCAATTGCATTCGGTCAGCGGTGCCAGGAGCTCAGCCAGGTCCCTCCATCACTGCGTCTCGCCCTCAGGCCCTCTCATAGGCGCGAGCCCACATTACAGAGAGCCCAAATATCGATTGGCCGACCTACAGGGCCCCTTTTGAGGGTCCCATGAAGCCAGCCCCAGGTTCCTGAATGGGCAGTAGGTGGCCCTCCTCAAAATTTCTTTAGAAATGTTTTAGTTTTATTTTTTAACTTACCATGACATGCTTTTTCCGATTAGATGGGGAATTTTTGAAGGCCTTGATTTCGCAATCTTTTGGGAAGCTTTTTTCTATAGGCTATGCTTGATCCTTCAAATCGGCCAATAGGGAGCCAGCTTCCCAAATCCTGACAGAACTATCTATAGTTATGTTTACATATCAGTAACGAGTAACGATTCAGCCCGTGAAAAATCGATCAGAGTAAAAGTATTAAATTAATGGAAAATATGCAGTGGAGTAAAACTAAAAGTAGGGAAAAATATATACTCCAATAAAATACAGATACTGCATTTTGGTACTTAAGTACAGTACTTAAGTAGTTCTACTTCGTTACTGAACATCTCTGGAAGTAACACAGTTCAACCGGTTTCTGAAAGAGGAAAATGAGCTTTTTTGCACGCCGTGTGTTACCATAACCTCTACTTCAGGGATCTCAAACTCTGGTCCTGAAGGAACATTGTCCTGGCGCCCAACTTCCACCCTGATTCATACTGACTAGATTTATGAAGATTAAGTTTTTCACAGCCTTAATTGATCTGAACCATGTGCTGAAACAGGGAAACTACCAAAACCAGGAAAAGCACCACCAAGAAACCCCATAAATATGGAAACAGGAAAGACTGCATAGATCTGGATCCGGAGGCGGGTGGAAGTCATAAGTGTTGACGTTTTGCATCCCTACAGGAGACATCGCTGCTGATGGAAATCCTGATCCTCCGCAGCCGGACTCGGACGGCTGGACCAAACTTCAGCCTGAGGTGGTCCACACAAAAGCGTCCAGGGCTCCCACTTACAGGTAAAAGTAGCATCCTAAAGGCAACAACTGGAGCTAAACTGGAGATCTGGACCATTACAAGAAATATGTGTGTGTGTTTTTTCTTTTAAATCCCTCCGTGTTCTTATAACCCAGACGGACTTTAGGAATAACCCCCAATCTTTACATCTCGGCCGTAGTATTGGTTTTGGTACTTGTTTTTTTAAGGTTGTACACCCTTAAAAGTTTCCGTGTTGTATCGTTTTTGGTAAGTCAAAATTTGGTCATGTGACTTTTCCGAACCAATCAACAGGGGTCATACTACCTCACAGTAGGTCACAGGCTGTAACCAATCAGGAGGGGTCATATTAGCCATATGTTGTGTTTCTTGGAGGCCTATTTGTTGTTAACATAGGTGTGAATTTAGGTTTATAACTGTGTCTTTATCTGTATGTCCTGTTTTGGTGGGCAGAGAAAGTTTTCATCTTTTTTTTTTTGTTACTTGATTCACAGGCTCAACCGGGAACTTTAAAAAAAAGTTAAAATAATAAAAGGAAATCAAGTAAAAATGACTTCCAAAGGCCCCCAATGACACTCCAGGGTTTAACCTCTACATTTCCATTAATTTCAGTGAATAGTGATCTGCCGTATGTGTCCTGTTGATAAAATCAAACTGTATGCTGATGATACACCTCTTTACATGTATGTTACAAACAGCTCCAGCTAAGCTAACTGCAGCTATAGCAAAACACTCTGTATGTTCTTCTGTTGGAACATACTTACAAGTTGTAAGCCATGGAAAAAACACGTATTAGCCTTAGCGCATTTTAGGCCGCCGTGCTCAAAGTGTGGGGAAATAGTCCGGAATCGAAGCGCTGTAAAGCTTGTCTTGTTTTTATCTCGTGTTTCAGCCTTGTTTCTGAGCCGGGTCACTTTGAGTGCAGTGTCTCTGGTCTGCGCTGGGTCTGTGAGCAGAAATCCAGCTTTGAGTATCGGTTCTGCTCCTGGGACGGACACATGGAGCGGATGGAGAGCAGGCAGTACTCCCCTGCTGGTCCTCTGATGGACATCACAGTCACTGCTGGGAAGCTCGCCGAGGTGCAGCTGCCTCACTGGGTGTGCACAGGTCCGAGCCGCCAACCGAACCCGCGCCCGCTTACACGTGGAGCCGGTGAACTCCTGCTAGCCGTGGGCTCTGGTTAAACGCGTGTTCCTGTGTCTGGTGCAGAGGGCGTCCCCGACTTGCTGGGTAATTTCGCAGTTCTGCACATGGATGGCTGCGGAGAAGTTCTGGAAAAAGTCTCTGGGGTCACACCGACGCACGTCAAGCTAACCGAGCCGAGCTTCACCTCGCTGGGATCGGTGATAAAATCCATCTTCAGGGTCAAAATCAACTGTAGCATGTTGATATATTATCAACCTGAGACATCGTACCTTAAACTCCGCGTCTACCTGATCCCACAAGATCCTGCCCTTCAACAGGTGACTATCTATCTATCTATCTATCTATCTATCTATCTATCTATCTATCTATCTATCTATCTATCTATCTATCTATCTATCTATCTATCTATTCCAAAGTGTTTCTGAGTAGCAGCTTCCTCCAGGTTTTTCTGCTTCTTCTCTCATTTTCTCTCACTTCTAGCTGAGCGTTTTCAGAGGAATTAGTTTTTTCTTTGTTCAGCCACTAAAATCGGAGTCATTCAGGCAGAAAAAGGCCCCTAACTCAAGGAATGAGCCCCTCTGTGTCCTACAGCAGAGCAGCAGCTTTAAGTGGATCACAGAGACTCATCGTCTGTGGTGGAGCTGATGGAGGAAAAAAAGGCCAGAAACCCAGATTCTGACAGACAGGAAACAGGATTTCTGAGGATTCCCAAATGAGTCAATTGTTCACTTGTGTAAAGTCAAACTTTTTTCTCATGACTTCCATTCACAGAACGTGCATTACGAGGAAACTGCCAGTGGATATGAGGCGATCAAAAAGCCCCGGCCGGACAGGCCTCTGAAGATAAACCAAGGCTTCACCCTCACAGCCAGCACAGAGGCTGCCAGGATTCAGCCAAAGGTACAACTCTGAAACCTGCTCAGCAGGAAGGTTCTCCAGACGTTTTATTCAGACAGAAACCTCCACTTGTTCACGTTCAATTAGATTCATAGATAAATGTATTTTAGGAAAGCTTTTCGTTCATTGGGTGCTTTCTTGATTGTCCACTTTGACCCTTTGATGCTTTAATTTGCTGTTTTTCCATGTGCAGTTGACTTTCTGTTTTTTCTGTTTTATGTCAAATTGTTGCGCAGAAAATAACTCTCAGGTATGACAGCCTAGACCCAAACTTCTACGAGCTGTTCATGGAGAATCCGAGCCAGACCTTTATCCTTGAACTCCAGCAGACCAAGTCAAAAAACGAGGCAGCCGTGTGGAGCTGTGAGATTAGAAAAGGTCAGCGCCTGCTAGCTATTTCCGCTTTGCTCATGCTGTCCTGACGGCTGTTTCATATTAATATCGGGACTTTTATTGTTTTTCTCTGCTCCCGCTTGGTCTTTTTGGTCCTCGGTGGTCATTGTTGGTTCTCTGGTTTCCGTCTTTGTTTCTGATGGTTATCAGCTCTGGTCAGTTGGTCCTGTCCTGCTTCACTTCTGTCCAACCCTCAGCTGTGCTCATTCCCTGACCTCTCTCCGCTCCTTCGGGTTCCTCAGCCTCTTTCAGATCCTCCCTGTTATCGTTCTTCCACCTGTTCGGTTTGGCACATCGTTGTGAAGCTTGTCATCGAATGGCCTCTTCGGTTTGTAACTGTTTGCTGATATCTCCCATCAGCTGTGTCCAGGCATCTTTAAAGCCCCATTGCTTCTCCAAGCTCTGACTCACCCATTTACATCATTATTTTCACTTTGCTTTATTTCAGATGACTACCCAAAATCAGGCGATGTGGAAGGTAAGACTTCAGCTGAATTTGATGATGAATCAAATCTTTAGAATGATTCTAAAAAGCTCCAAACAGTCAGACTTCACATGTACTTTCCTCTAAATTAGTGCTTTGACTGGACTGGAATACATGACCTGCAGCCCCCCCAAAAAGACGTGACATTGATTAAATTATTTTTCTTGATAGATAAATATACTTATATACATATTACTCAGGACTTCTAATGGGGGTAAACTTGAGATTGGCTTGGTGAAGTACACTCTGGGCCAAATTTGAGACCAAAATGTGTCTATATGGTGGAACAATTGTGAATAAACTTATTAAAAGCAAACGTTTTCAGTATAATTTACGGGATTAAACATTAGAATCAACGTATCCTAACGTGTACAATCAGAGGAATATCCACTTGAGTGGTTTATAACTTTCCTTAAAACCCTAAAGGCTGAATTTTTTAAGCAGTTTAGGCCAAATCCAGATGTTTTTAATCTCGCTGTTCGTTTGCACGATACTTTGTTTTGGTCCTGAAATGACCCGCCGCCGAAGAAGAAGAAGGCGTGACGTCACACGGAAGTGAATACGGATGCTAATGGTGCAAACTGTGCTAAATGTTAAGAAGCGAACTCTTAAGACGTGTTCGGACAGAGTTGTGACTAAAAAATACCAATTGGGTAACTGATAACCGATTACAAATTCCAAAAAAGGAGCGTTTTTCTCCGCGATTTGCTCCTTTAAGGCTTTCCGCCATGATTGTTTACATTCCGGTCTTCCGCGTCGTCATACGTCTTGACGTCAGTCTTACGTAAGTGACGTAGCCCCGACGTTGGCCGTTAAAACGTTCTCCTTTTTTTAAATAGTTTTTCGTTTTTACGAAGATATTTTGTTGTGCTATGGCCATTTTTATTATTTTTTAATCAATTTTCATTCTTTGTTACCATTTGATATTACTAATAAAGATAGGACATTTGACGTAGTGACGTAGCCCCGACGTTGGCTTCATACATTAAAACTTTCTCGTTTTTTTAAATAGTTTTTTGTTTTTACGAAGATGTTTTGTTGTGCTTTGACCATCTTTATTATTTTTTGTTCCATTTTCACTCTTCTTTACCATTTAATATTGCTAATAAAGATACGAAATTTGACGTAGTGACGTAGCCCCGACGTTGGCTTCATACGTTAAAACTTTCTCGTTTTTTTAATAGTTTTGTTTTTACAAAGATATTTTGTTGTGCCTTGACCATTTTTATTCCATTTCATGTTTATTTTTTCTTACCATTTGATATTATTAATAAAGATACGAAATTTGAGCTGAAAGGACTTTCAAAAACTCAAAAGAACATAAAATATTCATCATCTTATGTATCTGACATGTGAAGCTGGGTAAGGTCTGATTATAAGACATGTACTGTTTAGACTATCACACAACTGGTAGAAGTCAGATTTGAGCCACTTTTCCTTGCAGTACAAAAACAGCCTTAGAGTTGGTATTTCTCAAGAAAACGTTTGGGTTTATTGACTTTTGGTTAATTCCATTTCCTTTGCAGCAGGACCCTCAGGTGGAACGACTGGTGACCCGACGCCGGCTGATGGTGAGTTCAAAGGTTTTGGAGACCCGATCAAGTAGAGCACAGTGAGATTGTGGTACATTTCAGGCAATTCGGCACGTAACGATCACTCTGGCTTTTCCTACACTCTTCCATTAGGTCAGTATTTTTGAACCACTGTGCCTCGGCACACTAGTGTGTATCAGAGTGATGGTCAGGTGTGCTGTAGAAAATCATCCTATTTCATCTAATTGGTCTAAAAAGACTTTTTGATAAGGAATTAATTATCTGCAAATAATATTCAATTTCTGAGTGTGTGTGCTGTTCTAGTGACTGGTGGCGTGATCCTGTAATAATTCCTTATGACTAGATTTTGTATTTAATTTTGTATATTGAAGTGGACATGTTAAGAGCAATTTGAAAGAAGAAATATAAAATATGATAAAAATACATTTTTGTGTTTACTTGATTCCTATTCAAGACACTTAAGATAAGATAAGAATAAGATAAGAATAACTATAGTGTTACTATAGGCCGCTACAGATTTGTTTGACATTTTTGGTTGGTGGTGTGCCTCGAGATTTTTTCAATGAAAAAATGTACCTTGGCTCAAAAAAGGTTGAAAAACACTGCATTAGAATATCAAAACACTGACAGACGGTTTGACTTTTTTACTAACTCTCATTGGTCAGGGGGTTTAGACTGTGACCCCCAACCCCCCTTGCTTTGCTTCTGCCTTTTCTAAGCTCTGGGGATGAATGTACATCAATCCTGATAATAGATAATTAACAACACAAATCGTATTATAGTAAGAAAGAAATAATAAATCACATGGTTTGGACTAAGAGTAACTTGCTTGTTGCTCATCAGATGAACACTTTGTGGACAAACACATGGCGGAGTTGATCCAGAGAGTGACGAACACCAAACCCATCCTGGATGCCCTCCTAAAGAAGAAGGTGATCCAGAGTGAGCAGTATAAAGCGATCCGGGCTCTGCCTGGATCTGAGGACCAGGTCCGGGAGCTGTACTGCGGCCCTCTGAGGGCGGCCAGAGCCTGCAAAGACATCTTCTGCTCGCTGCTTCGGACCAATGAGCCGCTCCTCATGGCCGAGCTCAGCAAGAGGAAGTGAAGCGGGAGCCTGGACGATCCACAGGGACAGGAACTGTTACTCTAAAGGCTAAAGGCTAAAGGCAAATCACATGTTGTGCCAGAAAATACAAACTGTGAGAGTTTAAAACCACATGCAGGAAATGTTTACCCGTTGTAAGGTGCTTTTTTATCATTTTTATCACCAGAACTTTAGCATGTTTCATGTTTTTTTTATGACAAATGTAAAATAATTAACCATTTTTAAGGCTTTTTTATACAAACTGTGTAAAATGGAAATGAAAGGAAACTGTTTTTTAATTAAACGTCTCAAATCTTTGAAAATACTGACTATGTCATGATTACAGTTAATATTTTCAATCTTTTTCTCACTATAAAGAATCTTTTATCAAAGTTGATCTAATCCATGCTTCAGTTCTTCAGGCCTTTCCATTTTCACATTATTGATCCGGATATCCACAGATTCCTCTCTAAGTGGTTTATTCTCAGATCTTCTGGTGTATTAAAAACAAACATAAACATAAACATTATTAGAGCAGATGCAGCCGTAGATTTCTTGTCCCTCCTCAGACTGGAAAAAAATGAGCTCTGAAATGTTTTCAATCCAGCTGAAAAGGCAGAAACTACTTAGTGTCTATCGGTGATCAAATCTGAGTGGGCCTTCACTGTTTAATTCTTTAGAACATCTGGATGTTATTATGGAGTCAGACCTGACCTCCGACAGCCAAATTAAGTCCAAATTGTTCAAAAGTGTGGATCAAATTCTTAGATTACTAGGGGTCTCTTATTTTTTCTATTAAGTTAAGACTTAAACAGGTTTGATTAAACTGAATAAACTCTCTTCAGGTTTTATTTTCCATGCAAACGAAACTTTATCCTCTTACTGTTTAAACACATTTTTCTCATGAAAAGAGAAACTCATGAAAAAGCTGTGTACATATTAAATCATTAAATCAAATGTAACCTAGTAGGTAAGTAATGTGCATGCTTGTGGGCTTCTTTTTTGTTTGTTTTTCTATGTTTGTAAGTGGATGTTTTATGAAGGAATATTATGGCCACATTTAAAATCTTTTAAAGAATAGTTACAAGAAAATCTGATGCCAATGTGCCAAAATATTAAGTATCTCCTTTGGTGAGACCTATTGTAAAGCATATTTCCACGAATTCACCTTTAAGCGGGATAGAATATTTTTTACTTTGATCTTGTAATTTATTCTCTCCATTTTTAATGTTTTTAATCTTGTTATTAATTCTCGCAATATGTAATAACGCATTTACTCTTGTGATTAACTCTTAAATAACATCATTTTTAAAAAAGTTACGAGTGGCCATAACACTCCGCCGTACTTTTTTCATGTAGTTTTGAAAATAAAAATAATAGTAAAAACTTTTGAGTCGTGTTGTTCTTGTTCTCGCCGGTAGGTGGCAGAACTGTGAGCAGCCGTTAAAAACGCAGCAGAAGAAGAAGAAGGAGGCGGAGTGAGTTCCGGGGGCGGATGGCAGACTGCGCCTGCGCGGTGGCGGACCGGAAGTAGCGGCTTCATAACAACAAACCGGTGACCTGTCCGGCGGGTCAAAGGCTTTAACCGGATCAGCAAACAGGTTTGTGCCCCTCAGAAAGATGGATCACATCCAGAAAAAGGACTTCCTAACTCTGTCTCTGGAGATATGGCGGTTTTATGAATTCTATTAAAACACAAAGCAATAGAAGTCTGTTTTAACCTCATTTTGGGTCTTTTTCATAAACAGAGAGTTGAGATCATCCCCAGTTTTTGACACTTTTTAAAACCTGAATTCAAGTTATATTTGACATCTCTTAAATGTATTAAATCATACAAATATCTGACTGAAATCCTACAGGACTGACCCACAACATGTGAATCCCCTGGTTACTGTTATTTATTGTTTCATTATTATTACTTATTCTTTTTCCTTATCAACGTCACTTTGGGGTTCCAGTGTGTTTCTTCTGTTGCTATTGCCATAAAGTTAATTGAAAACAATAAAAACCATCCTCCTTTATTCCCCCAGAGCGGTTCGTTTGGTCTAAACCTCCATAAATGTTACTTAAGTTACTCTGGGGTTATTAAAGTATTTCTGATTAAACTGCTGGTTAGAGTGGATCCAACAACAATTTCCTAACGTAAAGTAGAAAAGTCGACTTAAACTCCTCTGATTTACTATTACTGCTGTTAATATAAAGGTTTTAGCTGTTTTTTTAAGGATTCTGGACTAAAGCTGCTGTTTTATGGCCCAAACAGTTGAACTTCTAACCCACTTTGACTTTTTACCCCTGCAGCTACGCTTAATGAGCTTAATGAGCTTAATGAGCTTCATCTGAATGTAGTTTGACATTTTCCCGATCTGTGATAGATGTGTCCTTAAAATGACAAAAAGCTAAATAAATGTGACCTAACGCTTTAATTCAAGTTAAAATGAGGAAAATTGGCTGTGGAGACTGAAAACCATCAAAAATATTCTATGACTCATCTCAGAAAGAACAGAATGCGTCTGTATTTATATTTATTTTATATTTACTCTAATCTGCCTGATTAAAATGAGCTAATTGACATAAAACCTGCAGTATATAAAGAGAATGTCCAGATACACAGATTCAAGATCCTCCTTAA